ACACAATCAACTTACATTCACTATAATGACTGTTCAATTTGAAAATTTCTGAACAATTATAATTTTTTAAACAAACCAATATAATTACTGGAAGATAATGAATAATTGTCTCTTTCTGACTTAATTTCAGCCAATGTTGTCCCATGCTTGGAAAACAGCTCGGGTGACCATGACTGTATATAGCATCTAAAGTAACTGCCTGAAAGGAGTCAACGGTTCTTTGCATATCCACCAGAACCTTTCTTTTGCCAAAAAAGGAAACAATTTTTTTTCTATATCTCTGTAATGATAACTGCAGTTTTAGTTTCAAGCTAAAGATGTGATTTCAGAATTATTATATTGAATATTAACTGTTTTATGTAAACTGAAGATGTCAATATTGTTAGTCTTTTAAAAATAAGTTACAGTATCTCAACAGCATTAGCCAATGTGTACTTTAACATTACTATGTGAAAATTCAGCCATGCCTCCTGTATTTCTTTACTGGTGACTTGAAACGTCAACAGATTGTTCACATTCACTTGGATATTTTATTGGTTTGTTTCAAGAAACTTCAATATGATTTGGTATTGGCATTGATTAATTTTGCATTTTGCTTTTTTTGCAGTTATTTACTTATCTAAAAATCACATTGACAAGAAAGAATCAATACTTTTTAACAATATCAACAGCTAATGACTTATACCAAGCCTGTGTCACCCTCTGCAAAAGGGAAAACTGGAAGGGATAACAATTTCAAAAACTCCTTCATTATTCTTAGATCTTTACAATTGCAGCTACATTGAGGAGTTTTGAGGTCACATTTGACAATTTTGCAAGATTCCCAGCAAATCTTGTGTGATCATTAAAATAATAGTTGGTTTCCTGTGGTAAGATTCATATTTCATCGCTTTGGAGGAGGTGGTGAGAGAGGCAGCATGTAAGAATTTTTACAGCACTGCAGTATTAAAATACCAGAGTACAGGGAGTGGCAGATGGAGTTTAATTTAGATAAATGTGAGGTGCTGCATTTTGGAAAGGCAAACCATGCAGGACTTATACACTGAATGGTAAGGTCCTGGGGAGTGTTGCTGAGTAAGGAGACCTTGCGGTGCGGGTTCATAGTTCCTTGAAAGTGGAGTCGCAGGCAAAACGATAGTGAAGAAGGCATTTGGTATGCTTGTCTTTATTGGTCAATGCATTGAGTATAAGAGTTGGGAGGTCATGTTGTGGCTGTACAGGACATTGGCTCGGCCACTATTGGAATACAGCATGCAATTCTGGTCTCCCTGCTATTGGAAGGATGTGGTGAAACTTGAAAGGGTTCAGAAAAGATTTACAATGATGTTGCCAGGGTTGGAGGATTTGAGCTACAGGGAGAGGCTGAATAGACTGAGGCTATTTTCCCAGGAGTGTTGGAGAGTGAGGGGTACCTTATAGAGGTTAATAAAATCATGAGGGGCATGAATAGAATGAATAGCCAAGGTCTTTTTCCCTGGGTTAGGGGAGTCCAAAACTAGGTGGCATAGGTTTAAGGCAAGGGGGCAAAGATTTAAAAGGAATCTAAGGGGTAATCTTTTCAAACAGAGGGTGGTGTGTGTATGGAATGAGCTGCCAGAGGAGGTGGTGGAGGCTGGTACAATTACAACTTTTAAAAGGTGTCTGGATGGGTATATGGAATGAATGGGTTTAGAAGGATATGGGCTAAATGCTGGCAAATGGGACTAGATTTATTTGGGATGTCTGGACGAGTTGGACCGAAGGGTCTATTTCCCTGCTGTATGTCTCTATGACTCTTATGATCTGCAGCTGTTTAAAGTCACTGATTTAAAATCTTGGAGCAAAATCCCAGAATTGTGTCACAACAAACTACTGCCTCAAAGTGCTCCAGTAGGACAGAATGCCCAATTTTCTTAACTGCTCATTTTGTATTAAGTAAAAGGAACAGCAAGTGATTGATGTAAGGGGCTGAAATATACACACCACCTTCATGATGAACAACAGGTGAATGGACCTGTATGAGGCTGCCATATCTGTCACTAATCCACGTGCCCCTCCCTGATTTTACATACAAATGGATAAATTAGATGCAGGACAATGCCATGGAGCCCTTGGGCCAGCTTTGCCATTCAATAAGATCATTCTCACATATTCTTGATATCCATTTGCTTCCTTGAGTGAACATTCCGGAATCTACCTCTGCCTTAAAAATGTTCAAGGACTGTGCTTCCACTAACTTTTCAGAAAGACGGTTCCAAAGACTCATGACTGAGAGAATTTCTATTGCCTAATCTTGGGTTTTCATTGGGCAGTGACCCTTAGTTCTTGATTCTCTCATAAGAGGAAATATCCTTTCTACATCTATCCTGTGAAAACCTGTCAGAATTTTCAATGTTTCAATCAAGTCGCCTCTTATTCTTCTAAAGTTACACAGATACAGCCTAGTTGTCCAATGTTTCCTCGTAAGATAACCTTCTCATTCTAGATATTAGTCTTGTAAACTTTCTCTGAATTGCCTCCGACACATTTATACTTTCAGGTGACCAATACTGTACACAGTACTCACACGCAGTCTCCCCAATGCCTTGTAAAACTGAGGCATAATCTTCCTAATTTGTATTCAATTCCCCTCGTTATGATAAATGATAACATTATACTGGCTTTCCTAAATACTTGCTGTAACTGCAGACTAATCTTTTGCAATTCATGTGCAAACATTCACACATTTTTCTGTATATCAGAGCAATGTAATCTCTCACCATATAGACAATATTCTTTTTAATTCTTCCTGTCCAAATGGATAATTTCTTATTTACCCACATTATAATCCATTTGCCACATCTTTGCCCTTTAATTTTTTTTTTAACAAATACAGAGAATTCTAGAGACACTCCAGGTTACAGGGTGACCTAATTGAAGTTTTCAGGATATTAACACGGAAAGGCGGGGTAGATAAACTATTTCGCTGGTTGAAGATTCGAGAACCAAGAGACATAGTCTAAGAATTGGGGCCAGGCCATTCAGGATAGATGTTAGAAAGCACTTCTACACGCAGAAAGTAATGGAGTTTTGGTGCTAATTCAGTTGCTAAATTTAAATCTGATATAGACATCCATTTTCATCTACTTATAATCAGGGCAACAGCCACCTTGCACATCTCACTCACTCCTTTCTCCTTGGTTTCTGTGGATGCACCGATGAACTGACTGTGACTTGTCCCCTTTAGCAACTTAACCCAAAGGCCCCAGTCAAGAGGTGCCCAGACCACTGATTGGTGGTTGTACAAACCCCCAACCATTGTCATGTCATTAGACCTCTTGTGGTACAATCATGTTCTTGGGTCCAGACTCTGAAAGCTGGGTTTCCTGGCCATATATTCCCACTCCCTTCTGAAAGCAATCTTTGAGGATCTCCCAGCTCACTGCAGAGCTGTGCTTTTCTGCTTCCCACCCCCAATCCTAGTGCTTCCATTGCCACATTCATCAATGGCTTTCTATCAAGGCTTTCTGGCTAACTGCAGAATACAGAGTCTGCAGGTAGCATTTAGAACAAGAAAACCACTCATGTCAGTGCTATGTCAAATAAGGTCACAAAACAACTTTGTATGTTGTCTACATGGATCTAACTGAGCACTGGCAGGCTCCAAATCCCGATCCTTACATCCAAAGAATGGCTATGTATCCATATATATCTTAAGTATTAAGTGACTGGTTTCTTCTGAACTTTACTGCAATGACAATCCCAGATGAGATCATCAAGTCTATTAATTCTGTAAGTTCTGATTCGGCTGACATGAAAAACAAAGGAGTCAGGCATTTTGTAAAAAAAATGCACAATATATGCATGTATCTGATCAATCCAACATTTACTGTTCATCCCTAATTGCCTTTCAGAAGATAGTGGTTATCTGCCTTTTTTTAACTACTTGTTAAACAATTTCGGAGGGCAGAGAGGTGTCAACTGCTCAGCTGTGGTTCTGGAGTCACAGAAAGGACCGAAAAGGTAAAGATGTAATTAATTTTCCTTAAAGTATATTGGTGAAACCAGATAGGTTTTTATGACAATATGATAGCCACATGGCCATTGTCACTGATGCGTTTGTTAATCTTAATTCATCTTTTCTAATGTTGCTATTTGGTAAATTTACATTGTCATTTTCCGTTTGTCAAATCCAATGAATCAATTGGTAAATTTTCCCTCTGAATTGAGAATTCACAATACTAAATCATTGTCATTGTCAGCTTTCAGTCAATTTGAGGAAGATGTATAGTCTGTCTCTAGTGGAATATGAAGATCAGCTAACATACATGCAATTTAACCAATAATCATTGTAAAATAATTATCTGGTGTAACACACCATAGATTGTTGTTCTGAACTTCATAAACCATCAGATCAATCAATTTGCTGTAAATACTTGATGGGGGGCAGTTAAGGGACTTACCTATATCCTGCATCTGAATTTAGTCACATGGTGAGTCAAAAACAGATCAAATTGACCACTCACTGCCAAAGTCTCTAAATTGTTTCCATTATCTGGCAAACCTAATGGCTAATTTGACAAGAAACTTTACAGACTATCCGAATTAATGTTACTTTTTGTTGAGCAGGAATGTATGTGTAACATCATCAGTAGCAGAAAAACCTTACCAGATTCAGGTGCTCTGAGTCGGTCCCTATCGACAATGTTCCATGCTGGCAAGCATGGGAAACTGCCTTGGGTCATATACTGCCATTCAGGAAATGGGTAGACAAACACATAGACTGGGGCACTGCTAACCATAGCAACCAGACAGAGCATAAAAAACTCTAAAAATCACACTGTTCTTTCAGGGGAGATTGGGTCACCTATGGCTGTATTCACTTGATTTTAGAAGAATGAGAGAGGGTCTCACTGGAATGTATAAAATTGTGACTATGTGACCGACTGGATGTTAAGTTGATGGTTCTCCTGAGTGTCTAAAACAAGAGATCAGGGTCTCGGGATATGAGGTAGGCCATTTAGAATTGAGATGCAGAGCAATATCTTCATTCAGAGGGTTGTGAACTTGTAGAATTCTCTACCACATAAGGCTATAGAGCCAGGTCGCTGTATATATGCGACAACGAATAAATTATCTGGATAATAATTGTGTTGAGACACAAAGCGAGAGACAGGGAAAATAGTTTTCTTTTGATGAAGGATTTACTGTTACTATATTGAATGAAAGACCAGGCTTAATGGGCGAAATGGTCTCCTTCTATTCCTATTTTCTATGTTTATGTTGAAGATACAGGATGGAATCTTTCATTATGGAATATAAGTCAAGCGTGGAACACATTAGTGGTCATTACTTCCACTCAAGGGCAGATAAAGGTTCCTTATAAGAGCATGCAGTTTTCAGCTCATTATATATACGTGTTGTTGTACAACTGCAACAGCAATTTGTATGAAACAGATAGTTTCCAGAAAAGCTTTGGACACAAGAATTCCCAACTGGAGAAGTTACAGAGTTCTAAACAGGAGAAAATTTAATTTCTGAAGAAAGAACTTATCATATGACAAAATACAAATATAGACTTTTTTCAAAAACATTCCCTCTTCCATCCTGCTTTACTGAAAGGTTTAGTTCCTTACTATAATATGATTTCAGTACCTTACCTAAGCGATTGTCTTATAAATTCTGTTTGAGTCTGAATTTGTTTTCGCCCAACTTCCACAAACACAAATTTAATATGACTGGACAATATTCAGGAGCCTGAACTCAAATTTTATTTTCCCGCACTTATTGATACCAACCCAGGTGCCAGTAATGCCACAGAGGATGTTCTCAGGTAACTGCACAAATCAGGGATCAAATCTAAGAACTTCCTCGTTTGAATGATCCAAATGCATATTGTCTGAACTGTGAGGCAAATAATTAAGCTATTTGGAGAAGAATGCTTGAGAGCATCTACTTAAATCAAAGTGAAAATCTACAAACAGCATTTACCACATCTGATTAGAGAGTCTTAAATGATGATCAGAAGGTAACAAGATGAAAAGTTGTAAGGAAGGAATTTCAGAGTGGCGAGTCTGGATGGCTGGA